AAAAATAAAATAAAAATAAAAATAAAATAAAATATAAAATAAAATAAAATTAAAAAATAATAATACCATTCAATGGCTTTCCACTGTCTTTTGGACTGAGCCCAAATCCCTAACATGTCTCAGAGAGCTAGCCATCATTTATAGTTGCTATATTTGTCATACTAAATTTCTTCTTTCAGTTCTCACAATGTCCACACAATCTCTAATTTCTAGGCCTTTGGGTATTTAGAACACTCTTCTCTCCTTCTCTCAGCCTCCCCTTATCAACTTCTCACCTACTTCTTATTTGGCTAATTCAAATAATCACCAGTGAAAAGCACTTAATCAAAGATGTCATCCCTGATACCTACAGTAAATGAGCTCCTCCTAATATGTAAGTTGGCTGACTTCTCCTTATCATAGCATTTATCACACTTCACTGTTACTGTTACTATTGTTATCCCTACACCGAATCCCCAGAGCCCAGCACAGTGCCTGTTACATAGAAGAAAAATATAATTTTATATAAATAAATGAATTTGATACAAACTCAGGAACTGAAATATATACTTTTAGTTCTTAAAAAAATGAATGTATGTGCAAGGCAGAGTGGCTCAAGACTGTAATCTCAAGACTTTGGGAGTCTGAGGCAGGAGGATCTCTTGAGCCCATGAATTCAAGGCGAGTATGGGCAACACAGTGAGACCTCGCCTCTCTAAAAAAAAAAAAAAAAAAATTCAGCCAGGCATGGTGGCACAAGCCTGCAGTCCCAGCTACTTGGGAAGCTGAGACAGGAGGGTAAGTTGAGCCACTGCACTCAGGCCTGGGCAACAGTGAAACCCCATCGACTTAAACAAAAAAAAAGGCCGGCTGCAGTGTGCAGTGGCTCAAATCCGTAATCCCAAAACTTTGGGAGGCCCAGGTGGGCAGATCACTCAGCCCAGAAGTTTTGAGACCAGCCTGAGCAACATGGCAAAACCCTGTCTCTTAAAAAAAAAAAAAAAATACAAAAATTAGCTGGGCATGGTGGCATGCACCCGCAGTCCCAGCTACTCGGGAGACTAAAGTGGGAAGATTACTTGAGTCTGGGAGGTCAAGGCTGCAGTAAGCTGAGATTGCGCCTTTGCACTGCAGCCTGAGTGACAGACACACTGACTCAATCGACTGATCAATCAAAGAATATATATGTATTAAACTTTGGGCTTACTTCACACATTATGCCTAACAGGTATCTTTTTTGATTTATTCTTCCAATATTCACTTCAATTACTTACCTTCATTTACTCTACAAACTGAAACTCTCACAGTACTATGAGTTGCCACCATGTCATGCAACATAACATATTGCTGAAAGAGGAAAAAGAAGTTAAAAACTAGCCAATATGAACCCACTCAAGAAAAAAGCCAGAGTGCTAAGAAATAAGTTAATTCAATAAATGTATTATCACTCCATCATTATAAAATGTCGAGTCAGAAATTCAAATTATTCATTGTTGTAGTTCAAGACAAAACAAGAAGCACTTTTAACAGGATAGCCCTGAAAACAGTACCTTCCAGTATTCCAGTCTGTGATCAGCAACCACAGATCCCTATGGCCTCTAGACAGTCAAGTGGTAGAGTCGTGACTCTAAAAAGCACCTGCCATCCCCAACCTCCTACCCCGCAAAACAAACAAAAAAGGGAGGGGGAGAAGGAACACATATTCATGCAACTAAAATAATGACTGCATTGAGAATTTACGTTGTGCCGAGTACTATTCCACACACTTCAGATGTTATTACAAAATACAAACAGAGTTGTGAAACCCATAATAAACTTGAACTTACCTTTCTAATGGAATACAGTGAGCTTACGATTGATACTATGGACATAACCACAATAGCTAGAGCATAGTAATAGTATTCATCAGTGCTCCACAGTATAACACTGAACAGCTGGAAAATGTAAAATGGGTTGAGAACCTAAAAAACAAGATTTTAAAGTCAAACTGAATGAGATATTAATGACCACACAGATTGTCCACCTTTTCATGTGACAATTAACCAAAAAGATACAAATACGTACAGGATAAGTTTCATAGTATTCTACAGCAAAATGTACTTCCCTAAAAAGTAGGGCAGGCTGGGTGCGGTGGCTCACGCCTGTAATCCCAGCACTTTGGGCGGCTGAGGCGGGCGGATCATGAGGTCGGGAGATGGAACAATCCTGGTTAACATGGTGAAACCCTGTCTCTACTAAAAAAATACAAAAAAATCAGCCAGGCATGGAGGCGGGCACCTGTAGTCCCAGCTACTCGGGAGGCTGAGGCAGGAGAATG